TTATACAAAACCTGAGTGAAGCTACTGAATAAATCTAGCAGATTGATGAGATATAAGAGCCTGTTTGGCAAAACCCAAGTGAAGAGATAGTACAGATCTTTGACAATTACTATGTAAAGAATGATCAACCGGATATTAGAAAACCAGACAGGACCAATGTGTTTGGCAAAGCTCTATACCAACCAGGCTGACAGACAACCAGAGAAAGAGTTCACCTTTTCAGGCCATTGGATTGGGAGGTTGGGTTTCTAGAGGTATGGGAGAGAGTTTGTAAAGTAGATACCAGGGTTTGGGTAAATTTTATAAGAGCAGTAATAGGTAACTGTAGTGGCCTCAGCTTGCAAGTACTTGTTCCCAGACTCAGCGTAAGTTACTGAAAAGCCTAGTCTGGAAATGTGTAGGACATAGAAAGATTAGAGGGTATATACTACACTCTTTCTAAAGCAACTCAGTAGTACAAGAACCCTACTGGGTTATCTATAGAATTAGAACACAAGTAGTTTAGCACATATCGATCTAAAAGGTCTTCAATGAAAGCAGCATGAGGTTATGGGTCAGCGTAATTATAGTAGTGGGCAGAATAAGTAACCAAGAATTTACTATTAAATATCTAATAAAAATTCGCCTGTTTACAACATTGCAAAGGTAAAAAAAAAAAAAAAAAGTTCTTTATTTTTTATCTTTTTCTCTTTTGATGTTATATTTTTTTTAAGTTTCTTTTTTGCTGCAGCTTTTATATCTTTTTATTCTAAATACTTGTTAGAAAGTAGAGAAATTTTTCTTGAATCATATTATTTATTTCTTTATTTTTATAACTGTTAAATGCCTTTTGTTGGCCTAGTTTGATACTTGAGTTTTATATTTTTCAATTATATAGTTTATATATATATATATATTTTTTTTTATTAACTAGCCTCTTTGGCGTAGAGGTTTTTATTCAAGTATAATGGGCGAAGAGCTCACAATGGAACCCTAATTACATTAGAGAGTACAACTAGCAACACATGCGCCTTTTGAGCACCTATTTAAGTAGTCTGCATATAGATAACTGTATATCATAGGTTCTACACTAGCTGCTATATCTATAACCCAACTAGAGGTTACTTATTTAAACCCTCTATAATGTACACTGCCTCCTTGTATCACCGGAACACTCTGTTACATTCATTAGTCAAGAGTTCTAGATATGTACCGTAGTCTTAATCCTCGAGGCATCATTGCTAGAGCTTTCTATATCCACAATCCGGCTAACCTAGACTTTTGGTAACTTACACCAAGTCTGAGAACGAGTACTTGCGAGCTAAAGCTGCTACTATTATCTACTTCTGTCCTTGTAGAGTTCACCCAAACCTCAGCATCCACTTTACGGACCGTCTACCATTCACTAGTCCTCAAACTCCCAATTCAGATAGCCCAGAAAGGCAGACCCCTTCCTTGAAATACACTGACGGCCTGGTTGGTATGGTGCCTTGCCGAACACCTTGGTCTCATTCAGTTTTCAAATCTTTGGTAATAATTCTTTATATAGCGCCGTTAAAAATTTGTACTACCTCTCTATTTGGGACTTGCCAAGCAGGATTCAGCCCTTGGATTTACACAAATGCTTCACTTGGGTTTCATGTAACTTTTGCATCACACTATAGTTCTACGTTTTTTCAGTACAAGCTGGTATGACCAAAGCTACAAATCCGATGATCCACCAGATTACACACAGTCTGCCTTAACATATTCTGTAAAATTTAAATTTTGTCACCAGTGGAATTTAAACTCTTGTCCTGCCGCTTGGAGGTGCAACAACTTACCAACTTCACTAAGTCACTACACCCATATATATAGTTTATATTTTTATTTATTTCTCTTTTATCTTTTGATAATCTTTTTTTTTTTGGTTTTACTTTCTGAGGTTTTTTTTACCAAATCTTCATTTTCTATTTCTATTATTTTGTTTTCTTCTTTTTTATTTCTTCTTCACTTATATTTATAATGTAATCTATTAATATTAGATTACTTCTTGCTATCTTTACTTGTACTGTCTATTGTTTGATAGTATCTTCTTATAAGAATTCTTCTACTTTTTTAAATAAATCTTATATTTGACTATATAGTAGTATATTGAATACTGTAATTCTATTTGAATCTTTTACTGAAAGATTTTTTGCTAGTTACTTTATGTTATCTAATTTTGTTTTATTAGTTGTATAATGAATTTCCACTAACTCTTTGTTGTTTAGATATTTAAGTACTTTCTTTGTTGCTTTGTATACAACTTTTAGAAGCCTATTTATAACTGATATTTCTTTATTAAATTTAATTTGTTTCTAGAACTTTCTGTTTTTCTATTATATATTTGTTTATTTTGTATATACAGTCAGACCTTCCTAAATACAACCTCCCTAAATATATATATATGAAAAACCTCCCTAAATGCATGTCTTTTCTTGGGTTCAACTAATATAACACTTATAGATTTTTACCTCCCTAAATGCATAACCTCTTTAAATGTATATTTTCTCAATTTTTTACTATGGTCCCGATATCATGCATTTAGAGAGGGCTAACTGTATATTTTTTTTTGCTGATTGCTAAAATTAATGCATATATAGGTTTAGGTCACAGATAACTCCTATAACTCTTGAGTTAGCAAGGGCTCTGTCTGAGTCTCTAGTCTTAGTATCTTATAGATATAAAGTTCAAATAATATAATTTCTTTATTTAATTATTTGCAAAAGGTTTAATTGAATTTTAATAAAGATAGAGGCATGGTTTCACCTTTGAAGAATTTCTATTTGTATACTGTATATACACGGATATTATTTTTCATAATTTTTATGAATAAAGTTAATTCTGGTGTTCTAACAAAAAAAGTTTTCTTACAAAATTTTAACATAAATTATGTTTTTCTTTAAGCTCTAAAACTAGCCTATCCTAATATTAAATGAGATTAAATTTTGTTAAAAAAATCGTATAATACATGAATATGCAAATCATTAATGTCCTTATATATACTACATGTAAACTAGAAAATTTTCACACACACACACACAAATATATATAATTACATTTAACTGAAAAGAAACTTTTTCTCTTAATTTATTAAAATTTAGAGTACAATTTTAGACGAAGCTTAGGAATAGATATTAGAACCCCAAGTTTAGTTAGCATGCTTTTGGAGATTCTAAACATTTTTACTTAATATCTCTAAAGTATATTGGTTAGTACGTTTTTAAGATATGCATTCCGGTAACCTTCCCTCAGTAAAAATTAACAATGCTCTTAAAATTTTTTTTTATTTAAAAATAAAATAAATATATTAATATGCAGATTGTTTTTGTATAATAAAATAAATTTATAAAGTTTTATTAAATTATTTTTAAATAATTGTAATATAAATTTTTCTAATTCTAATAATAGTAAATTAAAATTAATAAACATTTGTTAAAATATAAGTATTTAAATTTTAAATATCAAAAGTTTAGAAAAGTATATAATGATTATATAATACGTATTAACCAATAAAAATATTGTTTTTGTATTATTAAACCAACTAAAAAACTTTACAACGTACAAAAATATTTTTTTTAAATATTTTATTTAATAAAACTTTGCTATTGTATAAAAAGCATTTTAATCTATATATACAGTATTATAAAATTTGGATAAAGTTTTATTAATAATATATTTTCTATGCAAAATTTATTGTACCACCCAATCTTATGATGATCTACATACCCCCTACCCTTAATCGATCGACATTTCACTATCCGTTTTTTGCAAAATCCCCGACTGCATCGGGGAATCGTCATCTTGTGTTATAAGAGCAGCTACTGACATAACATTTGATTGTTCATTATGTTCAATAATCAGAAGTGGCTCGTACCGTTCTAAATTTTCATTTTCTACGTCATCTTGATCGTTAGTATCCATGTCTGATAAACTTCGTGTTTGTTCTACGTATTGAAAAGCATTCGCCATACATGCTCGAATTATACTCTCTTTAAGTAGTATATTTACTGCCTTAGATAGTTTAGTATCCATCGTCTTCAGTGTAGCAATGTCTCTAGTCGATCTTGCTAATTCAATAAGAAATAAGATATACTCATGTACATAAACGAAATGCCTGCCTGCTCTATTAAATCCCAAGAAATATCAAAATTTCTATTTAGCATACTGAATAAACGTCAAGTTCATTCTTTTTCTTTTTTGTTTAACTGTAAAAATTACCTTTCAAATTCCGGCTTCCATACATTCATAACAGATTTATTAGATGAAGCTTTTAACTGGAAGAGATTCTGTAGTAACGCTTTTGCTTCTTCTGGTTTTTGCTCAACGTGGTTAATTAGCCACGCATGCTTAAATGATGTACTCGAAGTTAAGGGTCAGTTGATGAGGAAAACAAAAATGGTAATAATACCCACCCTAAATACTGGACGATGGTGCCACTTGTTTTTATCTGCTTTTCTTATACTTTCCAATTTAGTACATATAAGATGATATGCTCTCTGATATTCTGGTTTTTGTATATTAAAAACAGAGCCCTCGTTTGTATAATCGATAGGCGCCATATCATCATCGGTAAGGCCAATAGATTGTTCAACAAATGATGGCTTTTATTATAAATACGTAAATATATATCGCAAAGAATTAAGAATTTACGTAAGTCGAATAAAGAATATTAATTTGCATACTTTGATTTTATTAGTAATTAAATATTTTGCCAGTGAAGATGTCAACTTGTATTCAGCATCCAAAATTTTCTCTTGACCAGTAATACCTGACCTCTCTGGTGTTCGTGATACTGCTAGTTTATATAATTGTATTACCACCTTCAATAAGAAGAATAGTTGTTAACAATTGATTAAACAACTGGCAGCAAGTCCTAAAATTGATTATACCTCAGGATTCTTCCGAAGTCGTTGGTAACATTTACCGATCATGTAAGGTATTCTAAGGAAAAAGCCATTTAGTATTCAGATCAGTAGCTACAAATGAAAACTATGAAATCACAAACACCTCCAATCCCGGACAATAGGTGCTATAGTTGCAGAGCCATTTGCAGATGAAACTGAGGAATTAGTTGGAGTTTCAGGTGTTCCATATGGTGTGTTGTGTTCGGTCCCGTTGGGTGTATCATTCGGTGTATATTCTGGAGAAATATTTGCAATATCACTTTGTTTCAATAATTGGGATTCAAGTTCCAATGCCTTGCCGAAGCAATAAGCTGCAAATTGACATGCTTGTGCATCATCGGGCTTGCGCCAAGTTTCTGCATGAGAAGGACTTAGTGAGAAAGCTTCCATTGACATTGGTTCCGACATCATTGCATACACCTGATATCCATAGTCTCGCCAAAAGTAGATCTCTTCGACTGGTGTAGTTAATTGCTGGTTTGAAAACCAATGTATCACTTTGGAGGCTCTCGCAAAGCATTGAAAAGATTTCTACATCGATCAACAATATTAATTATGTTAACAATAGATTGATGGGTTGACGGATAAACTCAAACTAATAAAACCTTTTGATATTTTGCGATTTCGGCTCGATTATAGTTAATCTCTGCAGCACTCCATGTAAGGTTTTCATCAGCCAAATTGGCATAGCAGGTACCCAATGCATACCATGAAGCAAATCGCAGTGGATTATTTCGAAGATCAAACTATATATACAAGTTAAAATTAATTATCAAATATTAATTTCAATTTAAGAAGTACTGATAATAATTACTGTAAATTGTTCAATCGCCTTTTCTAACATATCAACTGCTTTGTTCACATTAGCTTTTGATCGTGTCTTAAACTGATTTAACAGAATCTTGCCTCTAAAATAATATAAGTCTGAGAGGGCTATTTATCACGTACAAAAATTATGTTAATAATAAATAAGAATACTCGATAGTTATTTTTTTTTTTTTTAAAAAAAACCATTGTGAATTACCCCTATCAGAATCTCGACTTGAGACAGAACCAAGTTCTTTGACATCATGATTATGTTCTTTATATTGAACTGCCTCGTAAAAGTTTATATCGTCTTCAAGAAAATGTCGAGTTTTCCAACTGCATTTAGAAAAACCTTTTAAATAAATAGTAAAATGCCGTTAGCATTGATGCAGTGAAAAACAAATAGGAAACAATTTTATCGCATATAAAATCCGTACGATCATCACGCGGAGGAGGAAACATGTTCGCTATTTTGTCTAACGTGTCTTTGACATCATTTTTGATCGCCCATGCTTTGTACATCTTGTCTGATTTCTGATTTAGATAGTTTCGTATTTCTCGGAACAATAACTCGGCGGTTTCATGGTCGAGGTCAACAGCGGTGGTGTTATGATTTTTCGGTGGAGTCGTGTCAACCTGTTCATATTTGTGAGTCGGTAGTTTTAAATAAGTTTACAAAAAGATGTAAGATACTTACACTTAAGGAAACTCTATATAGACAGTGACAGCATTGATACTCATGCTGTCTATACTCCGATGGGTGTAATTCAGTGAGTGTTTTGAGGACAAATTTCAGAAATATGCCTACAACGAGTATAAAGGAAAATTACATAATCATAAAAATGAAAAGACATAAAATAAAATAAGCATCTATCGACAAACCATTATCAATTCCACATATGTGACGTACTCCAAGCTGGTCGTGCACTGCCTCAAGGAATTCAGCAAAGTCGTCTGCTAACGAATTTGGCATGTCTTGTAGTAGCAAGTAACAAAACAAAACCCAAGTTCGAACGCATAATATATTTAGTGGTTCACTGATTTCTGCTGTCGCTCTTTCCAACTCCATGCTGCGAGGAAAAAGGATTTCAAGAGCTGTTGAGTACAGTACATGAAGGCATCGTTTGAAAGTTTTTTGATCATTCGGCGACAAGTCAACTGTAATTACATATGAAATTTAACAATATACTTAATACACTTCATAATCTAAACTTTGTAGTTTCGACAAAAACATACCGAATTTATTGTTAATTGAGAGGCATCTGATCACTTCGGCGAGCGATTCGTTTGCCTGGAAGTTCAGAAGAAAATCATTTAGTACAATCAAATTACAAGAGAATCCTTATGAGATTTCATTATTTCATTTGGCAATGCTAATTTATAATCTAACCGAATGAATAGTAGCCCAAAAATGGATGACCCTGTCTTGACTGATGACATCTGACACGGCATTTTGCAAAAATTTTATAGAGTCAGTGAAATGCGAAACAGTGCGTGTCCATTCACTTTGTGACTCATCTCTGCTAGATTCCAGTATACATATTTTATAATTTATAGTTGAGATATTTATGTTTGAATCAAAGCAACTTTATAAAACATTAATAAAGAAAAGGTATTTATTATAATTATTATAATTGTAGATCAATTTCAGAAATTGCAAATACTGGGAAAAAAAATTATCCTTACCAGTTTACTATAACGATGTCTTCTTTATGTTCACCAAAAGTGTAGTATTGCTTACACTGTTCGAAAGACGTAATAGACTTGTCTAATTCTCCTTTCCATAATTCTATTCGAGCGATACACCACCATAACCTGTATAAAAGGTTATTAACCGAACTTATTGAATTAAGAAATCTCGAATATTATGCCTTATGTATTAAACTAACCGAGCATTCAATTGAGATGACCAATTTTTCCACATGTTGTAATGACGATTCCATTCGTCACCAACCTCAGACTCCAGCGCACGAAGGCCAGCATTGTTCACAAAGTCTTGCATATTCCAATATGAATATACAAGACTCTTTTTACATATATCTAATGTAGACTGCAATGTCTATTATGAAAATAAACAGAGAAGTTTAAATTTAAATTTATAAGATTTATAATTCATATATGTTTATTCCATTTACAATTTACCATAGGAATTTCTTGAATATCGCTAGAGTTTTGTTGACCGGTATGTGAAGTAGTCCGAGTACTAGTGATTTGCGAGTCCGACAAGAATTCGCAAATACCCATAATGACCTAACGAACATTTTTCAAATCATCTAATGAGATATAATTAATCAATAAAAACAAATTTGGAGAACAAGTGTCGTACCTCAGACTTTTGCTTCATCTGCATAAAAATGTTATCCTCGCTATTATTCATCATTATCTCAACTAAGTCACTTTTTTCATCCCAACTGGTACAAGAATTTTCAATCATCTCTAATAAGCGACGATCAATTCTAGAAAGAATCGCCCTCATAACTTCTTTCAAACTATCAGGCCAACGGTAAAGCCATAAGGCTTTAAGAGTTCCATCATCGGAACGCACAAAATGTCCGAACAAATGCATAACGTACATACATAAACAATCTAATATTCCCGAATTTATATCATTCATCTTTTCAATAAATGTAATTAACATTGAATGTGCTTCCGGAGTATCGATAAAATATGAAGATGGAATGTAAGGATTTGTATTTGGTGTAAACCGGTAAAAACGCGGATCCGAGGTTGCTTTCGGCCTTTTTAATAATGAAATGTGAGTATATGACTCAAATCAATAAAGACGTGAAAGAGTAATAAGCACCAAAATGAACCTTGACGTATTAATTGCTTGTTCTATCATATCTCCATGGTCTTCACGAGAAATGTGAAAGGTCCATGACTTTGTGAAATATTCTAAAAACTTGTCTATTTGATCATCAATATTTGATGACTGATCATTAGGCCAAAAATCCGGATCTAATTTTGTAATAATTGATTCTATTTTCTCCGTGAACGCCGAAGCAGATTTACTGCGTTGAACATTAAAAGTATTAATCTCGTCTGTTATCTTTGAGACTTTTCGATTAACTCTAACAATCGAAAAAAAAAATCAATATCAATACTATAGAATAATAATTTAATAATTTAATACAATGAAAAAATCGCGGGGCAGGTATGAACCTTAAGTTTATTGATTTATCACTAATGCTATTATCGATTGGCACTTCCTTCCTCTTCCGCTTTTGAACAGTACTATTTACATCAATTGTTGCTGATGGTTTTGTGATTTCCCAATCAATTATAATACGTCTACTAGTTACAGAAATATGTGTATCACTTTCCAGTTTAATCCGACTATTAACAAAGTGTCGATGATTAAATGTCCGGAATGTTCTGATATGAAAAGAAATGATGGTCTATAATAAAGATCAAATGTTACCCGCTCATCATTCCGTCGTAAGTATCTAACAACAATTCTCCCAACCCTGTCCATGTAGTGTGCTGTAAATGAACGTTATGAGATGCAACGGTAGTAGAAATGAATTGGCCTATTAAAAGTATCAATTATAAGTAATTCTTATTAGCATTAAATAAAATCCTTAATAAAAAATATGTATGATCTTACCCGATGGTTTAATTCGCCTTGGCACAGTTTCCAACAGAGCCGAGTGTCTTAAGGGAGGGGAGGTTTCGTAATAATTCCTATTGATTTAAATTATATTAATTCGGTCATCGCACGCGATGAAAACTCATATGAGGATTCAAACTACACTCCGACCAACCTTGGTAATAAAAACCTAACCCATGTGTCTTTCAAGAGCTGGCTTCTCAATTGATTTAGCACCTGATTATATGGATCGAAAACCAATCCTTTATCTATTGCGTTCAAACAATTATGAAATTCGCCAAAATCATACAAAAGCTATCGATAACATAGAAATAAATGATTATTCATGCATGCATCTGATTTATTTAGAAATTGACGAACTTACGCGACAATACTCTTCTAAAGCATCCTTATGGCTAGGTGTGAGAACCTTGAACATAGAGCACGACGCTTCAGAGTTTGCAGATGATGATATTATGTCAATATCTTCAAGAATCTTTTTAAAAGCACTGAGAGCAGCTTCACGATCATTAATTTCTTCTGACATAGCAAGCTTGCCAATCTTTAGTCGGATGCTATGATCGCTGGGATCTATTTGCAATGCCTGAAATTGATATTGATTGCAAGTTAAAGTTTTTCGAAATTCTAAAAATTCCGAACATCAAATGCATTCACGTAATTTCATACCCTATTATAGTATTCAATCGCATTTTGAGCATCCATTCTTGTTTTTTGCATTTCATACTCTTTCTCCCATATCTCACCATAATTTCTTAAAATACAATACTTTAATCTAGTTATTCGCTGTGCTAATGGAATACCATTGTTATCTGCCTATTATTAAACAAATAAAATAAATATAATTCCTAGCAAATGGATTATTGACACATAAATGTTTGAAGCATTACTTGGTACACTGGATTCCTCATTAATTCGTGTTTAAGAAGTCGTTTATAAGTCTCTTTTGCGCTATCATGATCGCGACGAAGTGCTAAATTATATTCTTTTTCGCATTCCCGGAACTAAATACACGAATAAAATGATTGACCAAAAACAATATAATACGTTGGGTGATTCTTTGTGAATAAAAAAAGAGCTAATTACCGGTGCATCGAGAGGATCCACCAGTATCTGGGCCTGCGAAGGAACAGCGTCGGCATTTAAGGGAGTGAATTGGATCATCATATATTTGAAATTTGATGAATAAAGATAAATTTTGCCATTATTATTAATTCATAGGAAGACATTCATACAGTCATATGATTGGCTAATTGGATGCATTTATGATGAGAACACGTGAAGGTTGACCAATCAATAGTAGCAAAAGTCATTGGCAAAGTCATCGACTTTAGGTTGTTCTCAAGAACTTTCAAATGTGTTTACTAGTCTTGATTAGTTGAAATTAATTGAAAGTGATTCTTATAACAATTTTGCCCAAAAATTTATTTGTGCGAAATGCGGACTTTAAAATTGATTATATATCATGGTTTATTTTTTGGAACCTGATATTTCACACCCTAACCCCTGCAAAAAATAACCTGACATTTCTACATCTTTTGTTATCTTCCACACCCTAACCCCTGCAAAAATTATTATACTACATACTTATAAGACATTTTTTCATCGGAGTTAATGTCACTCCATGTGCTGCTACGCAGCACATAAGTGACGATGAAAAAAATTTCCTGTTATTATATGTTTTTTCCCGACAATGATGTCATCTCGTGACAACACATGATCATATAAAATGAACAATAATATGGGCTAGATGCTGAGAAAAGGGACGAAATTGACAATTTTTTTAAAAGATGTTTTTTGCA